TCCAAGTAAAAACATCCTAAGTCGAGAAATTGGGTAAAGCCTTGACCAGGACAATTTTTAATAGAAATAATTAAAACCCCGTCTCATTTTATGTGTCTCACTTTGACTTGACACGATTATTAATAAAGTGATTGAAAAAGTAAAAGTTGTGGTTAATTGAGATTTGAGTATAATAAAGTGAAATGTTGTAAGTCACATATTTCTTTCCAAAAAAAGATATGAGATACTTATTTTGGGACAACCCAAAAAAAAGTAGGAAAGATAAAATGAGACGGAGGGAGTAATTTTTATTAAATCAAAAAGCATTTGCTAAATGACTTGAGATACAGTTCAGACTACAGATTAACATCAAAATGATTTTTCTGATTACTACTCGCATGTGACAGTGCTACCCTAACAAGCTTATGGACTACACTATTTGTAAATCATTTAAAAAATAGACAATAAACTTTGGTTCAAAATGAAGTTGTGACAATATCAAAACAAGAAATTAAGAATAACCCGAGTCTTCCTATAATATTGTCATAATAGTTTGAGCATCCGTTTCTATAAGAACTTGATCCCATCCTTGATTTTTCACCCGCATGTGATAGCCTCTCTCACACCATATCAATAAATATCAAACTTAGGATATGCAAGACTTTCATGTGTGAAATAAAAATAAAGATCAACATAAAACAATGCCAATTTAAATATATCTGAAACATTTAACACAAAAGATCATTTGTTACAGTAGCAATTCCCCCACAAAAAAATTATTATTTTTAATTAGTCATAGCAATTTTAATTTATCACATTCAAGAGTTTAACCATTAGAAAAACAGAAACTAAATAAGTTGGTTTGAATCTCGAACAAGTGAATTACATCATTAAAAAATTGTTGATGTGAGTTTAATCGGAATCTCCACTTTTCCATCTCCAATAGGAGCATATGAGGAAAAAAGACTTGTGTGTTCACCAATGCGTTTGATAGTCCCAGAATCTATTAGTCATACATTCACATAAGTCATTAATAAAATTTGATAAACAACCACAAGAGTTTATATCATCACTGTCAATACAGTTTACACTTTATTTTGGTGGATTGTAATTATTTTCCCTAATTATCATTTTCTCAAAAAAGAAAGAATGACATTTCTTTTAATTCAAGACATATATAACTAGGCTCATTATAATGTTTAACTCATGTTTAGAGTAATAAGAGTAGCCATATGTTTAAAGGCATCACTTGCCCATGAAGAAAGTATTCTGCACTATTTAGGTATTCACCATAATTTCTTAGATCGTTAACTTTATTGCTCTAAGTAAATATGTTGACCATATGAATCCAAAGTTGACCTGCAAAACAGACCTCCAAAATATCCTAAAAATCGATCATTAGTAGTTGGATAAGCGTTACTGTTTTAAGGAATTATTTACGTGGTTCAGAAATTCCACATCGGCGGGTACCACGCACCATACTCAGAACCCAATCCTACCCGATCAAACGCATAACGGTTACGACGTGCATGGTAAGTGAAATTCCACGTTTTACCGTACAAGATTTCCCTCCTTACAAAACTCAGGCGCCCCTTGGGAAAGAGAACATCAGATGGTTTTGGGTTGATTTTAAATACGAATAACTCCCTAGTTTTTGATTTGCTTGTGGTATTATTGGATATGCAAATAGACTTGTCCCCCAGAATTTGAAAAAGGCATGATTGTGTTGATCAAGTTCTGTGGTCCTTGACTAAGGCCGGAAGTGGCGAATGGAGATCAAATGGATGCAATAAGTGGTTGATTCCGGAGAAGGGTGTAACTAAGGGGAGAAATCTTAGTACCGAGGTGGGTAACACAGGTAGAGAAGGCAATTGAGGTCAGATGGTAGAAGGGGAGACAATCGTGAAGGGATGGTTGATTCCTATAGTGGCCGGCTAAGCATGGAGAAGACTCGTGGATTACGGGGGAATTCGTGAGTACTCTTCTGGTAGGTAAACGAAAGAAACAACAAGTGTGGGAAGATGAAGGTATTCAAGCTAAGATAATTATAACGGTCGATGAAAGAGAGAACGAGAAGTAAGCGGGCTTTGATTCCAATACTTAACTTGGTTCTCAAATGTTTATTTTGAGGTTAGGAGGCAGGGATGAGGAAGGAATATGGTAGGGTGGGTAGGGTAGGGTAAGGTAGGGTTAGGATGTTTTTACTGATTGTACCATCTCCCAACCTTGTGAAAGGACACACCAGTAGCAGTAGAAAACTCTACAGTAAAAGTTAATAAAATTAAAGAAAACCTTTTTCCTTAATTACATACAAAGATTCTGAACTTTCTCAAAGAGATGCAAAATATTTTCCATGATGAATATTTTTGATTGATTGTGTAAGACAGCAAGGCCAAATCGTAATACTTCTCCTTCATAGGCAGTGTGGCAATAATGTACTATATGTGCGTTTTGAGCTTCTGATGAGATTGTACTTAATGTATGTTGTATAATACTCATGTATATCTAATGGATAATGTGCTTAGTAGATCAATAACAACAGCAAGACCATTTTTTTCAGGTCATACTGTCACTGGCCTCTTAAAGTAGCAAAATTGTGTTCTTTTTCTTTATTTCCTTTGATGATGTGCAGACAAATACCGGAAGACATGGAACCTGAGTCTAATCCATTCCCAAGCTCCCAAAATCCCACCCATGGTAACTACATAAGTCAAGCACCAAACCGGTTTACTCCAATCATCCCCCAATTCCAGTCCCCGTATCGATTTGATCCAATGAATGGCTCTTCTTTCCCTTATACTAACCTACCTTATGGACCCCATTTCTCATTCCAAGATCTTTTGAACACTCCTGATTTTTCTAGTGGAGCCACAAAAACTCCCAAGGCATGCAGAGGAGGGAGAAAGAAACACAAAGATGTCCAAAGTAGTTCTAATAATTCTCAATTTTGGAGTTCGGAAGAAGATATCGGGTTAACAAAAGCGTGGTTGTATATTTCTATGGATCCTGATGTTGGTAACAATCAGAAAAGTACTGCTATGTGGGAGAGGATTTTACAAGTATGGAAGGACAACATGGGAGATAAATGTAAAAATCCGAGAAACAATAATAGCTTACAATGCCGTCGGCAAAAAATGCAAAAAGCAGTCAACAAATTCCAAGGGGTTTATGAGAACATTGAAAGGCATCCCCAAAGCGAGTCAAATCCAGAAGATACTGTAAGTATTACTTTATAAGTTTTAATTTAATACTATAGTTTTTCACATATCAACAATGTAACATCAGTAATCTGTGTTGCTTGATCTTGTATTATAGTTTTTGTTGTTTTTTTTAGAAAAAGAAAGTAATGGTGATGTATGAGAGGGTTTTCAGTGGTAAAAAGAAAAAGGAATTCAAATACATTCATTGTTGGGAGCTTCTTATAAAGAATCCAAAATGGTGTACAAATCAGCTTACCAAAGCTTCTGCATCAGATAAGGATGATTTGCCAAATGGAAAATCACCAATACCAGATGAAAGTGCACCCGGAGAAAATTCTTGTAAAGAACTTGACCGACTTAAAAGTGATGCAATTGTGCGCCCCCAAGGAAGAAAAAGTGGTAAAGAAAAGAAGAGGAAGTTGAATGAAGAAATTGGAATGGTAGAAGCAATAAATAAATTGCAATGCACCTTAGATAAGCAAATTGAGTTGAAGAGGGAATACCTACAAAAAGAGTATGCACTCAGAGAGCATGTAATGAAGCGAGAGATAGAACTCAAAGAGCACAACCAAAAGATGAGAGACAGAGCCCAACGAAGAGCCGATCAAGAACGCATTATGCACCTTGATTTGAGTAAGCAGCCACCAACTGTGCGGGCTAAGTATGAACTCGTACAGGCTGAAATATTGAAGGAATGGGTCGGGAAATTGGTTGTTTTTCAGGAAACTAAATATGTTTGATATATATTTAGCCTTTTATCATCTCGTACTGATATTTCAATAGTTTTTGCTTATATTTTGTTGGATAATTAACTTTGCTAGATAATATTTCAATATTTAGGCTTTCTTATTTGCACACTTGCTGCATTTAAATACTGGTAGTTTCTTTTTAATGGATTCAGAACATAGTGAGTAAACTTTCACATGAAATTATATTGTGGTTTATAAGTGTTATGGATTTGATTAAGAATGCATCTTGTCATTCAGTATTAAGCTCGTGCAGCATGCTGTCAGTATTTCATTCATTCTAACAATTGTATAGACCTGTTAGAAAGTTTATTTTGTTACTTCTATATGCTTCATTTCTACAAAACAGAAAATTTTTGGGCTATCCTGGGTTTTGAGTCTTTAAATAAAGAGCACTTGTATTTAATTAAGTGACTCATACATTAGATAAACTGATGATATTGGGAACATTAGGAGTATACAAATGCAATTGATGGAAAGAGAAATGGTTTTGAGTCTTTTTATTTATACATTTGTTTAGTTTTGAATTATTTCAAGGCGGCTGGAAATCTGGAATTGTGTTGACAAGGATTTTGTGTATTTATCACCTTACATTACAACCAGAAATACATCTTTTGCATCAACTTATAGTCTTATCTAAAATAAGTCAACTACCTGTTTATAATTATCATGTAACTAACTCCAATAAAGTCTGAATTAAGATGGTGTTGGGCATAATAATGAAGAAATACAAAGCTGAGTGTCATTCAATTTTAAGCTAAGGTGATCCTGAGCACATTTTGTCTCCTAAACATGTATTAATTTTTCTAGTGTATTCCCTTATAGCTAGAACAACTACGCATTTCAAATATATATAACACACCATGCTTTTCAAATTTCGTCCACTATTCTGATGATAAATAAGCAGGAAATTAAACATCAATTGGGAACACTCAAATTATCAAATTATGATGAAACAGACTGAATGTTTAATAACTGAGAAAAGTAATTTATGACATTACATTGATAAGTCAATGATCATTCACTATATGATGAAGAGAAAAAAATTCCCTAATTCATAATAAGTGCTATTAAACATCAAAATTAACATTAGTCATCAACAACTTGACCACCATACACTTCCCACATATGGTTGATGAGATCATTCTTCAAGTCTTTATGCAACCATGTGTCTTGTACAAGTTTTGTTCGACTAATCATCATTGACATGATCAGGGTGAAGTCGTGCTCCAACGTAACGCATTCAACAGGTTCATCTCCTTCGCCTTTCCAATCTTCAGGGTTAATGCCTTGACTATGCTCATCCTCAATAATCACATTATGTAGGATGATACATGTTTTCATTATCTTTCCCAAGTCCTTAGCACTCAACAGACGAGCGGGACCTTTAACAATATGCCATCGACTTTGTAACACACCAAATGCTCGTTCTACATCCTTTCTCGCAAACTCTTGTAGTTTTGCAAATAATTTTTCCTTCACAGACGAAGGCAGAGAGATTGTTTGGATTAGAGTAGCATATTGTGGATATATTCCATCTGCTAAATAATAACCCATATTGTATTCATGACCCTGAACCACAAACTTACATGGTGGAGCAATACCGTTAAGAAGATCGTCAAATAACGGCGACCTGTCTAAAACGGTAACATCATTATTACTATCAGCCATTTCAAAGAAAGCATGCCAAATCCATAAAATCTTAGAAGCTACAATCTCCAAAATAAGAGTCGGAACTCTTTTAAAACCATTAGTATGTGTCCCATGCCAAGCAGTGGGACAATTTTTCATTGCCAATGCATACAATCCAAACTACCGAGCATACCTGGAAATCCGCAGGCTTCACCCTCCTTTAGAAGAATTTTGATATCATCACTATTTGGTTTTCTCAAATATTTCTTTTCATAGAGTCCTATAATAGAATCACAAAAACGCTTTAAACTTTCAACATCAGTGCTTTCTCCGATTTGAACATATTCATCAAGAAGATCAGCTGGACAACCATATGCAAGCATGCGAATTGCTGCAACAATCTTTTGTAACGGGCTCAATCCAATGTTTCCAACTGCGTCATACTTCTGTTGGAAATAGCTGTCGTAGTTCTCGACATCTTTTAAAATTCTATTGAACAATTCAATATCCATTCTAAATCTACGACGAAAAAGATCTGGACCATACTTTGAGTTTTCACCTTTAAAATAGTCATTGACTATTACATCATGTCGCTCTTTTCTATCACGCCGAATGTAAGATCTACTTGATGTCGAGCCAAGAGAGCATTTTGTAGCAGTAAGCAATGTAGAAACAATCAATGGAACATTTGAAATATATTCATCGTCAAGAGAATAATCTTTGAGGGGCTCATGAAACAATTTCTTGGTAAGTTCAAGCTCACCATCACTTGAAGAAGGACTATCAGAATTTGGTTGAAAACTTGATGATGCCATATCATTACCCTGCACTATGTTAATAAAAACAAACCAAGTGATATCTATATACGATAAAAACAAAAGTCTACAAGTAATTTTATCAATATTTTTTTAAAGGAGGGATCAAATAAAATTGGAATTTAATTTTCTTTACATATTATTTAAGAAGAAAACGAATACGTGATAGTGATTTACCTGCTATCAACTTTTGCTTGTACGATTAAATCAGAAATAGGACAATTGGAGATGATGCGAGAAGTAGGAGCAGTCGAGTATGAAACTACGAGTACCTAGTTTCGTAGGGAAGTTGTTTGGCAACAAATAATTTACATTTACTTTAATGTTATTTTATTCCACATGGCAGTTTTCATGGGTCGGAAGACTTGGTGCATTGGGGGCTTATTTCATTCCCCACTGTCTAATAACTCCACTACTTATTATGTGGATTAGAAGTCCTCTTAATTTTTTGACATTTGACATTATTAATAGAGACTAGACTTGCTTGCAATGGAGATGCTCTAAGAATTACTCGGTATTTAGTTCACTTGCCTTAATATAAGTGGAATTAATTGTGAAGCAAGCATGTGACCGCAACATTCAGGACAAGGTGTGTCACGCCCCGGACCTCCCCGGACACGTCAACAACCCGCCGTACAATACGAATAGTCAACCGCAGTCCAACACATTCATATTATACAAGGCGTCTTGAATATCATTCACACATATAACATCCATAAACAAACATAATAAGTAATTCATAACGCAGCGGAAAACATTGTTTAAAACAAAAGGGCCACACAGGGCTATTCATGAGCACGCAGGCTCTAAAGTAAAATATCCATGAGCATGTTTAATATTGTTCAAAACAGAATGGAGAAAGCACGAACCACGTCTTCTCTCCAAAGGATCACCCGAGCAACGGGCACAGGAAGCAAGCTCTAGCCTCAACCTGAAAAATGGTGGTGGGACGCCCCCGAAGGGGTCAGCACTCTATAGGGCTATAAAGTGCTGGTGTGGATGGCATCTAAGGGATATACAACAAGTATTTCAAACACAAGACCCTCAAATAGGGTGATAATACAATATAGTGGTAACCCCAAGTTACCTCGTTTGAAAATATACTTACTTTATATAAAAGTCAAGTAGTCGGCCCGTGGGCCCATGTTCATTTAGAAATCGCCATTCCCATTCCCCGTGACTATGAGCCACGACAATTCATAGAGTTCATTACATTACCATTGCATAGCAAGGGCTCGGCCCAACTACATTTCTATGCAATCCTTTATGTCAAGTTCGTTATATTACATTTGCGTCCTATCACATTTGCATAGCAAGGTCTCGGACCAACTACATTTCTATGCAAATTACAATTTACATCCTATCACATTTGCATAGCAAGGTCTCAGACCAACTACATTTCTATGCAAATCACAATTTACATGGCAAGGTCTCGGACCAACTACATTTCCATGCAAATCACAATTACATCCTATCACATTTGCATAGCAAGGTCTCGGACCAACTACATTTCTATGCAAATCACAATTTACATGGCAAGGTCTCGGACCAACTACATTTCCATGCAAATCACAAAGTCCGGCTCTAATTCTTCATTATAGTCCAATTCCTAAGCAACCCTATGCCTAGAATTGACATCTCAATAATCTACCTTGGGTCATTCTCAATGACCGCCCATAACATGCCCTTAGTTTCATACTAAGTCATTTTATACACTTGAAGTACATTCAAGTTCATTCCATACAATCCAATACTTAGGATCAATTCTATCAACAATTTCAAATAATCACTAACTAGTATTTTCAATACTATTAAGATTATTGTCATTATACAAATATCTTCATTTTGTAATTCTCTACATATTTATAAGTATGTAGCATCAACTTAAATATTCCACTTCAATACATAATATCCATTTATGTATCCACATGTTTAATACATGAGTAAAATTCCTATTTCACAAAATAGTTCATTTATAACTCATTTAATCTCATATTATACATACATCCTCAAATCATTTCCAATTTCATTCTTTGGGAACCATATCAATATTTCATCAATATTTAATCATCATAATCCATGAAAAATTATGATTTAGGCATTTAGGTAATCTCATGCTTAACCTACAAGTTGTAAGCAATTAGATGTCGATCCTCACCTCAAATGAGCTTTAAACTATTCCTTCTTGATCCAATGACCAAAGCCTCGGCCAAGGAAGTTTGAGAACTGATTCCTTGCTTAAAAATGAGTGTTAAACAGCCTCCTCGAGGTGCTTGCTCAACTCCTAACCGAAGACACGAAAACAGTCCCTAGAACGGGTGTTTTCCGACAAATTCGTCCCCTAACCTTTCAAGGTTTTGTCTAGGTTAGTATCTAACATTTCCAACAATTAAAGTCACTATATAATAGCATCTTATACCATTCAACCAGTTTATAATAGCTCTTACATCATTCATACGATTTAGACAATAGAGAGGAAGGTTTTGGATTCAAACTTACTTTGAATACAAAAACGTATTCTGCAAGGTTGCGTTTTGTTCGGACGATTTGGAGGCCTTAAACTGCTCCGTTTCCTTCAAACCGCATGTCTATGGATTCCTCTTCTTGAGAGATTTCAGTGGACACCTCACACGCCCCTTTTGGATGAGTATTTCTCAAGATACGAACCAAACAGTGAGCTCCACGAACTGGAGATTAACCCTGCGGCCAGCTCCCTTATCTCTTTCTCTTTTGAGTGTGAGGCTCTCCCTTCTTTCTTATCCCTTTCAGTTCGAATGGGGGGTGAGGGGGAGGTGTTTAGGAGCTCTCAAAATGATATCTAAGCATGTGGTTCACAAAAAGAAAGGGTAGGGTGTTTGATTGCAATTAAACATGGTGTGGACCTCCTCTTTTATTTCTTTTTTGTAATGTTGTAGCTCTCAAGTCAAATGTCCGCCCCACATAGTTGTCTCACCCATTTTTCTTTGTCTTGCAGGTACCAAGGTCATGTGGGATGGTTCCCAAATGATCCCATTCAATTTGGGGTCCAAAATACCTACCAATACTTCCAAAATGAAAAGATGGACCCTATTGTTTTATCCTTGTCATGAGATGTCTTTTTGTACTCCTTATAATTTATGTAGGCCAAGTCAACTTCATAAATCATATTATTGATTCCCAACATGTGTAGGATCATCCCAATAACTTACATGTTGAATATTATAGAAGGAAAATCATACTCCCATTATTTAGCTCAAAAATGTCGAAGATGGGACCATAGGCATTTGTATTCCTCTCTAATCATACTATCACTTATTTTGACATTGTCATTCATATATTGGACTACTAGCCGTGTGGGTCACCCCCGAGTGGGCCTACGATGCCATTCTTGAATACTTGCTATTTTTAGCAGGTTGGGCCCAAAATAATGTTTGGGCCGCCCGACCTTCCTCAAATTGTTTTGAAAGATTATGTAACATTATTTAGATAATGTTGGGCTCTTATGTTCATTAATAAGGCCCAAATAAGTATTTGCAAACCCGACACTAACATACGAGTTTGAACAATACAAAAATCAATCATGCGCTACGTAAAACATTAATTGTTTTACAATTGTTTGGAAATCGAAAATTCAATACATAGAAATTAATTTTTTTTTTATATTGAGTTTTTCAAGGACGTTCGGGTGCGGTGTCACAAGTTCACCCCCCCTTAACAGGAATTTCGTCCCCGAAATTCGCAACTCTACTCAAATAGGGAAGCATACTACTCCCTCATCAAAGCCTCTATTTCCCATGTCCCTTCTTCGACACGATCGCTCTTCCAAAGGACTTTAACCATTGGGACTTCTTTACTCCGCAGTTTCTTCACCTTTCTATCAATGACCTTAATCGGTTTCACAACGTAGTTCACATCCTCACGTTCCTCTACAGGCGGATATACATCCAATTGGGCTCTCAATGCCCTCAAACTAGTCAGCAATGCCCCAGACGAACTCTTCTGACTGAGGGTATTTGCTACAACGTTTTCCTTACCTGGATGGTACTCAATAACTAGATGGTAGTCCTTTATCAACTCCATCCACTGTCTCTGTCTCATGTTTAACTCTTTATGAGTAAATACACACTTCAAGCTCTTATTATCAGTGTGTATGTGACACGTCTCCCCGTAGAGATAGTGTCCCCATATCTTCAATGCAAACACCACTGCTCCCAGCTCTAAATCATGAGTAGGGTAGTTTACCTCATGCCTCTTCAACTGTCGTGAAGCATAGGCAATTACCCCTCCCATCCGCATCAACACACATCCAACCCCTTGGATGCTCGCATCACTATAGACATCGTGCCCCATACCCTGTTTGGGTAGTGCAAGTACTGGTGCCTCGGTTAACCTCTTCTTCATTTCTAAGAACCCCTTCTCACATTTGTCATCCCACACGAACTTAGCTCCTTTACGAGTGAGCTTCGTCAATGATGATGCCAGAACAGAGGACTTCTCCACAAACTTTCTGTAGTAGCCTGCCAATCCAAGGAAACTACGAATTTCCTTGACGTTCTTTGGCCTCTCCCATTCGGTAATGGCTTCTATCTTCTTGTTATCAACTGCAATTCCCGATCCTGAAACCACGTGCCCGAGGAAGCCAATCTCCTTTAGCCAAATTCACACTTAGAAAATTTAGCATAGAGTTGGTTCTTTCGTAGTGTCTCAAGAACGAGTATCAAGTGCTCTTCATGTTCTTCCTCACTCTTTGAGTAAATCAAGATGTCATCTATGAACACAATCACGAATCGGTCTTGGTACTTATGAAATACTCAGTTCATCAAGTCCATGAATGCCGCCGGGGCGTTTGTTAACCTTAACGACATAACAAGGAATTCAATGGAGATTGGTTTGGTACGAGGCTCGACCTCGATCACAAATTCAATCTCTCTATCAGGTGGAAGCCCCGGTAGGTCTTTAGGGAAGACATCCGGATACTTACAAACCACCCTCACATTATCGATGTTCGTTTCTTCTTTGGTTTTGTCAACCACGTATGCTAGATATGCGTGACATCCCTTTCTCATCATACTTCTCGCTCTCACGGCGGATATGATACAGCTATTTGATCTCCCTCGATCGCCCTCGAAGCGTAGGGTCTCCCCATCGTTGCCTTCGAGTTCAAGAACCTTCGTGTAGCAATCTACCCTAGCATGGTTCCTTTCTAGCCAATCCATCCCTAGGATTGCATCGAATTCAATCATGCCCAGCGGTACGAAGTCACACGTCAAGGTTTGACCATTAACCTCCACCCCACAAGATGGATAATAACAAGTTCTTTCCACGTCATCTCCTAGTGGTGTTGATACCACTAAGGTTTTCTTCAATGGTACGGATTGCACCCCCAACCTCTTGGCGAACGCTTCATTCACAAATGAACGTTGCGCCCCGGTATCGATAAGGATTCGCGCATCCTTCCCATTAATCTTTAGTGTCCCCACATTTATGAACCATGTAAGACATTTTTTTCCTACCATTCCTATACATTTAGAGAGGTTTATTATGTTCACACACGTGTTTGGGATCGAGAACCGGTCTTAACGTTGCAATACGGCGCGAAAAAGTCGACTTTGGGCTGCCCAGGAGGTACGCACGGCGTGCCTAGGAGGTACGCACGGCGTGCGTGTCTTATAACCTCAAAACGGAGCTACTGCCACCAACGCACGGACCAACGCACGGACAACGCACGTCCGTGCGTATAGCAATTTCTTCCCGGTTGCTACTGCCACCAACGCACGGACCAACGCACGGACAACGCACGGCCGTGCGTATAGCAATTTCTTCCCGGGTTGCTACTGCCACCAACGCACGGACCAACGCACGGACAACGCACGGCCGTGCGTATAGTCCAGCCTGGTGTGCGTTGGCGGAAATCAGCCGTCTTTCGCCCGATTTCGCTCCGTTTGACCCCAAAGCTTCGTGCAATGATCCCAACGACTAGCAACCTCAATTTATGGACTAATCAAGGGTAAAACATGAGTATACAAAAGGTAATACCTGCAACGGAATCCGGGTTCGCTTGAGCATCCGCCTCCGTCGTCACATAGACTCTAGCTTGAGTCCTTCCTTGATTCACGGATGGCGCGTTGCTCGCGCTTGCTCCTCCATGCCCCCTAGTTAATTGGGAACCCCGGGCTTGGTTTCTTGTTCCCGTAGCCCCGCTACTTGGTCCCGATGACCTTGCCCCACCCAATTGTGGGCAATTCATCTTCAAATGCCCGGCATCCCCACATTGGAAGCATCTAGGAGGGTCACGACACTTACCAAAGTGGCTCCTTTTGCAATTATTGCACCGAGCTACCCCCGAGGTCCGTGATCCTTGTCCATTCGGGTCTTGGTTCCCCCTAGGTGGGGGCGGTGGTGTTCGGAAAGATCCTCCTCCATGGTTTCCCTTTTTATTGGAACCTTGAGGGCCATGACTCTCCCCCTTTCTCTTTTTCGCCTCTTCGGCATCTCTCCTCTTCCTCTCCTCCCATTGTTTCTCCCCTTTCAACCCTTGCTCGACCACTTGGCTAAAGGTCATGTTAGGCAACTGTGTTGCCCTCTCACGCACCTCTAAGTCCAAGGCATCCCAGAAGTGATTTACCATCCGGTTCTCGTCACAGACATACTCCGGTATGAACTCCGCGAGCTCCCTGAATTTGTGTTCAAGTTGCCTCACCGTCATTTTGCCCCCTTGGGTCAGGAGGGTATACTCTCTTCTCTTGGCGTTCACCTCAAAATCAGAATAATATTGGGCAAAGAATTCCTGTCGGAAATTCTCCCAAGTCACCGTGTTGCCATACTTTCCCTTGGCTCCGTCCCACCATGTGGATGCCATCCCTTCAAGCAACCTCACCGCCACCCTCAGCTTAAACTCGGGGGTGAGTTGCATATCAAGGGCTGCTTCGTTCAACCTCTTGATCCATTCCGCGGCGACCGAGATGTCACCCGCTCCGTTGAAGGGTTTGCACCCCAAGTCTCGTGCCTCTTTGAGGTATTTGGAGATCCTTACGATCGGGCCTCCATCACCTCGGCCCTCATGTGGTTCGATATGGGCCCTAGAGTCACCATGACTCCTCTCCCTTGAAGCCCCGCCCGAAGGTTGCCCGGCTCGGCGCCTTCGACGTTCCCTCCTCTCTTCACGCTCACGGTGATATTGTTGGAGTAGTGCCTCAATCCGTGCTAAGGAGCCGTTTTCCTCCTCATCACTTACATCATCATCATCATCATCCCCTTCATAAGGGGTTTCAACCGGTTCTGTTTCCGGTCGATAGGTCGAGTCCTCATAGGACCAGTAGCTCTCGTTCTCGGTACTCACATGACCGTCGCTCACGGTCTGTGATCGGCCTCCTCGGCCAGCTCCTCTAGATGCCCTAGAGGTCCTTCGACTGCCCTGTCCAGTCTCCACTGGTACACGGCCAGTCAGGTTTCTCCTAGTAATCCTGCCACCACGGTCCATTTCTGAAAGAAATTTGGAAAGAGTCGTTAGACTCGTATCAATGTCAATTGACGGATAGGTACTTAAGACACATTTTGGCTCGAGTCACCGCCATACCAATTGCTAAGGGTACCATCTTAACAATTAGAGACCTTGCAACCCAAGTACCAAAAGCTCTCCAAGTACAAAACTTCTATGCTCATGGTTTTCAAAATCTTTTCAAGAGAGAATTTTGAGACTTCATTATGAAGTTTATGGACTAAGGCTCTGATACCAACTTAATTGTCACGCCCCGGACCTCCCCGGACACGTCAACAACCCGCCGTACAATACGAATAGTCAACCGCAGTCCAACACATTCATATTATACAAGGC